GGCACTCCGGGACGGCGGGGAGGACGCGGGGAGGGCCGCGGGCGGCCCCACACGTCCCCCAGGCCCGGGGCCCGGAACGGCGCGGCTGGGTGGGGAGCGGCGGTGCGGGGGTCGCGTTTGGGGACCGGGCTCACCCCTGCAGTTGAAGCCCGCGGGGTTGTGGTAGTCCAGCGCCGTCAGCTTGCGCCGGAACATGGTGCCGCTGCGCTCGGGGCCCGGGTCCGCCGGGACGGGGACGGAGGGCGCGCAGGCGCCGGCGACGCGGCCGGGGGGCGGGCCGGCGCAGGTCGCTCCGGAGGGACAGCGGCCTCCGCCAATCGTAGCGCAGGAACGGCGGCCGCCGCGGAGGACCGCCAATCGCGGCCCGAGTCGGGGAGGTGGGGCCACGTCGGGCACGTCGACGCTCAAACAAACTTTATTGTCAGCTTCCCGGTCGTACAGGAACAGACGGCGCCCGGGAAGCGAGGCCGTGTGTGTCTGCCTGCGGGCGCGGCGTGGGGGGCCGTCCCACCCGCGGGTCCGGGCACACGCCCGCGCTCACCGTCGCCTCCTCCTCAGCAGCAGCCCTCTCTGCGGACACGGCCCAGCCTCACCGCGTCCCGGAGCGCCCACCCCTCTGCCCGCGGGCGGCGTCCCTGCTCCCCCCGCGTCTCCGCGGACTCGGCGACCGGCTCTCCCGGGGCGGGTTCTCCCCGTCCGTACCCCGCGCACACGCACGCACCCACACTCACGTGTGCACACAGACACTCACGTTTACACACGCGCACACGCACAGCAGCGGTCCCGCCGCTCGGGCTCGGGAGCCCGTCCCTGACATTTGAACTCGCAGTCTCCAGTGGCTCCCTTGGCCTTCTAGAAGAATCCGAGCTCCTACTGTTTGAGGCCCTTCCTGACCCCGGGGACGGCGGTGGGCGGCAGACCGCCCGTCCCGCGGAGTGGGAGAGGCTGGCGCGGAGGACGGACGACAGACACACAGACGAGGGTGGCTGTGGCCGGGGACGGGGCCTCGTCCGAGGCGAGAGCACGGAAAGGCCGGGGCTGGAGGAGGGGGGACGGGGAAGCCCCCTCGCCGCGCTGCGGGGCTGCTGCGGGTCCGGGGGTCAGCCGCCCTGCACCTGAGGCTGCGCGTCACTCCGTTACAGGGGTTGCACACGTGAGTGAGGGGTCTCCAGGAGGTTTCCGTAGAATAGCAAAAGCGCGCGTGAATGAACACTTCCAGGCGAGTCGGAAAGCGCAGAGTCGTGAGAAGCCCTGTGTGCGGGTCAGAGCGGCCTCGGGGAGGCGCTCCGAGACCCTCCGTGTCTCCAGTGAGAGGCTTACGGAGAAGCGAGGAGACCGCTCCAGGAGCGGCTGGCATCGCACGAAATCTGGGCAAGGCCGCAGCCGTGGTCGCAGAGCGGGGCGTCTGCTGGTTGTCTAAGTAATGGAGTACCAGCCGGAACGTAAGGAGAAAAATGACCCAGTCGGGGAAGCGAAGTAATGAGGGAATGCTTACATGCAATTGCAGATAATGCATTTCTTTCAAAAGTGGGGAAAGGCAGGTCTTAAAATTTGCTTTCTGGAATTGACCCTTTAATCCAGAAACTAAGTTGTTTGCTCCTCATATCGGCTCTCTGTTTCAGGGCCCTAAGTTGTCATCCGCTTGAAACTGTCTTTGGTCACCAGCCCTGGCCACCCCAGGTGGGAAGGTTGGATAGGGGCCCACCAGACTTGAGCAGGGGATAAAGCTAATTTTGGAAAAGAAGTATATAGCAGGTTATGAGCATTCAACCTCTTTTTATTTGAAAACCTTTTTGTCTTTTATTTCTGCATTTGAAGGAGTCTTTTGGCCTATCTTGAATCAAGTGTCCAACAGGAGGTGAATCTCTGTGCACTTCAAGAACAGAAAACCAACTTTTATTATCAGATGACCTGAACTCCAGTTGAATAGTTGATCAGAAGTTTGCTAGGTCATTGCTCCATCTGTTTAATAATTCAGCCTGGTTGTTAAGTGTTCTCTGCGTGCCAGGCTGTCTTCTAGGCGCTCTAGATGCATCTGTGAACTTAGACACAAAAACCAAGCCCTCGGAGAGCTTGCCATCTGGCAGGGGAAGACAGTCTAGTTATAAATAAGTTATTTAGAAGGTATCAATCCTATGGGAAAATGATAAGACGGTCAAGTGACTAAGGAGTGGAGGTGGGGGCAGTGGGAAATGGCGCAGGATGGTCAGGTTGGGCCTCACTGAGAAGGGGAAACGTAGAGCCTTGAAGGAGGTCCGGAGTTAGCCACGTGAGTAAATGGGGAAGACAGTTGTAAGTAGAGCACTCAGTGCAAACGAGAGAGAAGAACGGTTTATATGTTTGTAAATAGTTGAGAAACCAAAAGAACGACGGGGACACGTTCTGAGAACCGTGTCATGAGGTGATTTCATTGTTGTGCAAACATCACAGCGTGTGCTTACACAAACCTAGATGGTACAGCCTGCTCCACACCTAGGCTATACAGTACTAGTCTTATGGGACCACCATTGTATATGTGGTCCATCATTGACAGAAACGTCATGATGTGGCACATAACAGTATTTCATGACATGTGGAAATCATGAAATTCACATTTCCGTGTCCATAAATAAAATGGTATTGGAACACAGCCACACCCATTTGCTTACTGGCTGCTTTGGTGCAAGTTTGAGGACAGATTTGAATAGTTGCCACAGAGACCATATGGCCCACAAAGCCTAAAATATTTGCACAAGTTTATATGGTTTCAGAAATGCAGAGATGGCAATTTCAACATTAGTACCAGGCCAACTTGTGTTCAAGTAAGACAAGTTAGAGATATAGGTTGCTCTTTGAAGGTTGTTTTCACAACTTGCAACATGTTTTAAAGTCTTAGCAGTTTTACCAGGCCCCTCTGTTCAAATTATTCTTCCAAAAGACAGTGAACAGAACAAATTGGTAACACCTAGGAATATCTACAAAAGTCCCTGTTGCAGAGGAAAACAAGTTTGATATACTAATGAATGTTATCAAGTTAACGCCCCGTTAAATCAGACCTTTTCTAACAAGTTGTGAATGCAGAGAGGTCTTTCTTCTTCAGAGGCTCCTGGTGAGAGAACATCTCCTTCATCTCTTTCTGAGACTCTTTGTTCATTATGAAGATTTGCTTTTCTTTTATTGTTTTTTCAAGTTAGGCTCTGGAATTTCATGACTTGGCATGAAAAGGCAGCAGAGCTCAATTTTAATGGTAGAAATGAAATAGGAAGGAGTAGGAATGTTCTCAGTCACACAAGGAGCATGAAGCATTCGCCTTCCTCCTTGACCCTGCAGGGAGAAGCAGACAGTGAAAATGACACAGAGACAATGGAACCACGAGATGGAGAAAGGCGGTTCCTGGGAGTGTCTCTCCAGGGCTGGATCCAGCTCTTCAGATATGTCATGAGCCTATACATTGTTGTTGGTGCTGAGCCAGGGAGGGTTGGGGTTTCGTCACTTAGCGCTGAAACAGCCCTAACACGAGGACGGATTCCAGAGAGAGTTCAAAGAAATGATCCACAGAGGTGGTGGAAGACAGCATGGATGAAAAGGAGATGGAAGGCTTCAGGGTGGCCTCGGGGAAGGCACACGTCAGAGGTCTGGGGAGTGGGTGCAGGCACAGAAACAGGTGAATGGGTAGACATGAACCCCCTGGGAAGATAAACGGTCAAGTTCGGGACCTGCTGAGTTTGAGGTGGTGGTAGATGTAGCCCATGAAGGGAACCAGAACATGACACCCCAAAATATGCCTCTTTGACATAAAAATTATTTTGAGCTGAAGGCAGTTAAGCAGCAGCAAAGCAGAAAAAGCCCCCCCTTTCTTGCCTAAAGTCAGGATGTAAAGTCTCCTTTTACTGGAGACAGACTCTTATCAGCCCAGAGACGACAGAGGAGTCTGCACACAATCCTTGCTCCCCTGCCTTCCTCCCATGTATCTACCTGCCTGCAGGTTGCCGCCCTCGGAAGACTAAAGCCACTCTGTCCTGTCGTTTCTCTGCAATGTATTGTTTTTTGTGGAAGATGCTCTATGGGCTGGGTTCTAAGCCTCCATTTTGAGTTACTTTTGGTTCAGCTTTCTCTGTGTGATGTGCACTGATTGCGTTAATAGACTTTTTCTCTTGTTAATCTCTCTCTCTCTGTTATAGGGTCTCAGCCAAGAACTCAGAAGGGTGGAGGGCAGATTATGTCCCCTCTCCTACAGCCACAGACACTCCTGAGATTCAGGGATGAGCTGGAGCCACTGGTCCGGACTGGAGATGTCAGTTGAGGAGTCGTCAGCATAGAGCTGTAGTTGAGCCATCAGGATGAGCTCTCTGGAAGCCCTGGGAAGAAGAGAGGGCTGAGGACTGCATTGTAGGAAAACTCGGTGTTCATACCAAGTGCAAGGAGGAAGAGTCACAGAAAAGCAACTTTCACTAGAAAAGTGGTTGGAGGGATGCAGAGAACAAGGAATACATCCTCGTGTCCCAAAAGGCCCAGAGGAGAGGGAGGAGAGAGGCAGGGGTGGGGTGGGGCGACAGAGATCAACATTTGGGTGATGTTTCCACTAAAAATTCTAGAAAAGCCACCTCTGAATGCTTGAAAGTGGGGAATGAAGAAGGCAGACATCATACCCTCACAGGTTAACCAGCATACCTTCAAGGTTAGTCTGCTTTCCGGACCTCCTGTGGACACTCCCCCTTCCCTCTCAGTTGTGACCAGAAACCAGGCAAGGAAAGGGTTAATGAAAATCTGATCCATAACTAAACACTGTCAAATGTTTTCCAGACAAGGAGAAAACTAAGTGCGCTGCTTTTCAGAAGCTGATGTCCTGGTTTCTGCAGATGTCACCATTCTACAGTGAAACTGAGATGGACCCCTGCAAACTGCTCCAGCTCTGAGTGTCCAGAAGTTACCTTGGACCTGGTAGGTACCGGGATGCTGCATTGAGCTTGGCGTGTAATGGCCTGCACTGCACCCTGATTGGCCAGTTGTTACACAGCTGTAACACATCTTCTGCACTCTGGAGTATAAAACCTCCACCTGCACTGAGCCAGGGCAGGGGGCACTGCTTTGGGAGCTATCCTGGTGTTTTCCATTGCTTGTGCAAGCAATAAACCTTTTTCTTCACCCACTTCAGCCCTGGTTGTGCTTTTCGGCTCCACGCTCCCCAGGAGACAGACCCACTGAGTTTGGTTACACAGTGGACCCCCGGGCAGATCTGAGGTGTGTCTGAGGCGCCCACAAGCCTGGGCCATCACTTTGTTTGCATTTCTGAGAACGGGTCGTCCTCCAGGATGCCAGGAGTCGGGCAGGGTCCAGGAAGTCAGGTTGCTCAGAGGACCTCTGAGCGTCCTGTAGGGACATCGTCCTGCCCGATGGGCTCCAGCTGCAGGCTTCACTTTGGAGCCAGACTACCCAGGGGCCCTGCCTGCAAACCACAGCCCTGGATCTCAGCCTGCTGTTTACTGAAGCTCTGAATCTCAAGTTCATGTGCCTGATGCACAGTAAGCCAAACACTGAGACATCCGTGCTTGGAGATAGAGAAAGGTTTATTTGAGTTGGCCAAGAGAAGGTGGGAGCAGGGGTTCTCTCAAAATCACCTTAACAAGAGAAGGAGGGTTTTATAGAGCTATGGGTTGTGGCAGGAGGGGTTTCAGAGAAACAAGAGGGTAATCCGTGTTTCTTTCACTGCTGATGAGCCCCTGGGCAATCTGACTTCTGGGTGTCAGGCAGCTGGGGGCTGGTTATCTGGTGGTCCTTGAAGGCATTCTCTTTCTTCTGTAAAACAAGCTCATAAATCCTCATGACCCTTGAGTCACTCCTCAGGTTAAACAGGAAAACAGCAAATTGACAAGATTAACTTCTTTTCATAACAAGGTCGAAAGGTAATCTTATTGACTATCTACAGTAACCCTCAGGTACCTGGCTTCAGTGCAAGCTGTGCGGAAGGTGGGGGACAGTGAACTCCTCCAGATTTGCCCTGATCCCACACTCACTCTCAGAGTGAGGACCTTTTGAAACCAGTAAACAGTTAGCCATTGATGACTTGGTAGCTAGTAACTAAAGTACTGATTTTCAAGTACTGATTATAGCTTTTAGTTGTTCCCCTGCCCATTGTTAATGACATCTCCCTGGATCCTGGGTCACCATGGTAATGGGTGTTTGAGCTGTGTTCAGGAATTAGAACCCCTTGTCCACTTCAGGCCGGTTGAGATCACCAACCTATGAACCAGGCCTGCGCAGGTGCCCGGTAAGTGACCTTTTGGCATCAAGAGGCTGAAAACTCCACCCTCAGATCATGCTAACACCATTTCGTGAACATGTGTCTGGTGAAGAGGCATGAAGTCTGACTATGCCTGCGCGGATCCTCAATTACCTCACCTCTCCTCACCTCCAATCATCTGTCTGCACACTGCAGACCACCTTGCCCTGCTACCCCATAAGTACCCCCAAGCCCCCATTATCAGGGAGGCAGATTTGAGACTCATTCTCTGGTTTCCTCACTTGGCTGCCTTGTGATTAAATCCTCTCTCTGCTGCAATCTCGTCGTCTCAGCGTTTGGCTTTCGAGGCAATGGGGAAAAACGAGCCTGGTTCAGTAACACTTTTAAGTAAAATTCTATTTTGATGCAGGAACACAAGATTCTCTACCTTCTGCTTCAGAGTCTCACAGAACTATTCTGTGCTCAAATGACATGCAAAGTCCCAGGCAGCTCACAATGCATCAGTTTTGGAGGAAGTCAGACCTGGGCAAGGGTGGAGAACATTCATTCATTCATTCTGTCAAGAGACTCTCACATGTTGGGGTATATGGGCTAACTATTTGGGTTCCAACTGATTTGGGTTGAAGTAAAGAAGCCTGACTTATGGCCTATCAAACATACATTGTACATCTGCTTTAACCATTCAAGTAAAGAATGCCCTTGCAAGATGAGAATGTAGACTTCCACTCCTACACCCTATTGGTAACTCCTATTGGTAATGCCCATATTAGTCCCATTCCTGACATCAGGGTCATGTTGACCTGCTAATTTGCAACTAAATACCTCTTTGTAACCTTGAAAATGTATCCTGGGTGTGTTTAACATATGTTCTTTGTTCTAAGAAGATGTAAGACTGTACTGAAAACCATGCTTCTCCAGAACACTTTCTTCCTTTTTGGAAAAGGCCTTCCCGGATTATAATCCTCACCCTGGCTCCAGTAAAACTCAGCTTATTTCTCTTATCTATAGAATGGCTATTGGTTATTTTACCTCGACAATTTGTTCATTCATTCAGCACATATTTGTCTGTTATGTATGATGCTAGACACTTGGGATATAATGATGATAAAGACAGAACTGATCCTCACCTTCCTGGGGTTTACAGCCCAACAGGCAGACAGAAAACAACAGCAACGAGGCAAAGGAGATAGAGATGAACAGAAAGGGGCCTACTTTACATAGGGCAGTCAGAGGAGGCATCTCCGAGGAGGTGACATTCAGGCTGAGTCATAAAATATGAGCTGTTACTGGATGTCCAAATGAGGGAAAGGGCAGAGAAACCAGGGTGAGCACAAAATAACCAATAACCATTCTATAGATGAGAGAGACAAGGTGAGTTTACTTGAGCCAGAGTGAGGATTATAACCCGGGAAAGCCTTAGAAAGCGTTCCGGAGAAGCATGGTTTTCAGTACAGTCTTATATCTTTCTAGAACAAAGAACATTAAACACACCCAGGATACATTTTCATCAAAATTTCAAAGAGGTATTCAGTTGTAAATTAGCAGGTCACCGAGACCCTGATATCAGAAAAGGGACTAATCCGGGCATTACCAATAGGGCATTGCCAATAGGGCATTGCCAATAGGGCGTAGGAGGGGAAGTGTGCGTTCTTATCTTAAGAGAGTGCATTCTTTACTTTAATGGTTAAGCAGACATACAATGTATGTTCGATAGGCCATAAATCAGGCTTTTTAGTTGAAGGCAAATCAGTTTTGAACCCGAATAGTTACCCCATATACCTCAATATGTGAGAATCTCTTGCCAGCCCTTTGGTGGGAAGGGCGAGATGCTGTGGAAGGGAGGGAACACCAGAGTGTTAGGAGGGCAGCGA